ATGACTAATGCGCGCGTATGATTCATTTGGACCTGCGGCGACATCTGTTGGCACGCATGCACACACCGGCCCACGCGATGGGAGAGGAGCCTTTGGTTGGCAAATCAGAGGGAAGAAAGACGGTAGCGTTGCCTACATAATTACTCGGGAGATCGCGAATGGGCGGACCTACAAAGGTCTGAATCATCACCGCGAAACAAAGGATGCATTCTAAGAAGTCTAGGCCAAGTTGAGTGACTGTGTTTCGAGCAGAGTTGGTAGACCCAGTGGGAGACCGATATCAGCAAACGTACTGTCCTGAACCAGCATAGAATGGCAACTAAATCATGATCCTCGCTGTTACAAAATCCCCCACTGCCTAAATGTAAACGGTGCTCTGACGGCAATAATCATTGCAGGTTTCGCTGACCGGATGCTGGAATATTCGTTTTTGGTTTAACAGAGAACATCAGCCAGCCATTCTCTAACTTCAGGCCCGGGTGATCTGAGATTGGAAAACAGTCTTTACTAAGTCGGCATTTTTGCCACACGCTCTACCCTCGAGCGTGAGTCCTTCGGATAAAAATAAGCAATTATTGCGTCATTCTTATATCACAATAGACAATAGTTGTGGTAACGAGTCTCTGGTCCCATACATTCCGTTTGGCCTTCCTAGGTGTGCATCCGACGGCAGACTAATAAAAGGATCTTAGGAGGGATAATCGTCAGAAAGTGAAGTCATCGCAGGACCAGTAAGACCTGGGGGCATCTCGACTAGAACATGAGGGTCTACTCTGAAGACTTATGGCTAGTAATTTGTCCTTTTAATGCTAATAGACAGACGGCAGGTACTCCACAGTCGACGGGTGTAAAGATGATTGACACCCTCCTCTGGTTTCGTTTTTTTTATCGCGGCTGCTCCCCCATCTAAAACCGGACCCATGGATGGAAAATCACCCTTTGCGTTTAAATCCTAAAACTGACAGCCGAGCCCACAGACGGCTTCTGTCGCCTAACAGATAATTGAAGTTTTAAGCTCCGCTCTCGCAGAGGTCGGCAGCTGCGGCGCGCGAATTGTAACTCCACCGATCGATAAATCAGCAGGCTTAGTCACTGGATCCCCTACACACGTGAACAGCCATCACGTGGCTGAACTCGCCTGATGCATCGATTTCGTTCGCCCCCGATGCGGTACGCCATGACTGACCGGAATTAGCCTCGAACTTGGTTGACCTGCCGTCGACACCGACCTCTCAATATATCGCGATCTTGCCTTCAGTAAAGCTCATTTATTGGCAAACTACTAAGAAATAAGCCACTTTCTGATAGCCCTGTGGGCGCGTGACTGTGTCGAACAGAGTTGGTAGACTCACTAGGTGACAGACATCGGTAAACTTACTGTCCTAAACCGGCATAAAATAGTAACTCCTCATGGTTGCAAATGCCCCCACCGCTCCCCAACACAGTATAGACGCATACCCGAGTGCAAGGCCATGAAAGAGACGAATTCCTAATCAGAACTTAAGTTCTTCCAACGCGACGGGCATGGAAGTGAGAGTCCATAGTGCCTAAGTGGTAAGGCCAGCTGAAATATAGTTCCGGGTGTTTATTTTGCGCCTAGATGGTCCCCATGCGCGGCCACAGGAGTATTGTGAATGGACAGGAACGTACCATATGTCAAAAACTTCATTGATGTAAGGAAGTATTCAATCGAAAAGAGTAAGTTTGATGCAGGTGAAAGAGGGTAAAGGATGGCGCATGAAATTCTACAAAATAGTACAAAATCATGACTTCTCATGAGGGACTGCGAAGTAGAAAGACCCCATAATGTCCCAACCGGACTCTTCTGACAGTGATTTACATGTACGCGAAGGTGTATTATTGTCCGGGATGCATGGAGAAACAAAAAGCTTGTATTGCGGTTTGCATGACGACTTCCAGTCCAGCGTAAAGAACCAAATGCGAGGGAAAGTGAGAAAATGGTCAGAGCAAGGTAGATTAAACCATTGAATTGTAATCCCGCCACCATATCCACCAGGGTTCATCTGGCTTCAACCTCTGCTGGGGCCTCGTGGAATCCATTAGTTTCTTCAGGAGGCAGAAGATCTCCTTCGCGGGCAGCTTTCAGATCGGCAACGTGGTCCTGACCTGCGTCTGTGGTCACACAGTTGCCTTCATCGCCGATCTGGGCGTCTGCATCTGAGGGTTTCTCGCCCTCCGGACAGATTTCACCGGATGCAGCATGCTCCCCAACCGCAGATTTTGATTCGAATTCGGGTGGTGGTTGTTCAGCGTGAACGGACCCAATATCCTTTTCTGCGTCTTGAGATTTCTCCAGACAATGGTTGGTTAATCCCTCACTATCGACCGCTTTCTCTCTAGCGCTCTCAGAACCATCATCGGTTTGATCGGGAAGGACTCCGTTATCACAAGTACTCGGGTGACTTTCGTCTGCCTGCTCAACTGGCGTACCTTCGGGAATCACCTCGAACTCCTTTTCCCCAGAAGCCTGTCCTTCGTCCTTAGAGGGTTCGGCAGACGCATCCCCATGGAAAGACTCGGATTCTTGTTTTTCGTTGCCGAGGGTCTCCTCCGGAGACAGTTCTACCTTCTTCTCCTCATCGTTTAATTGAGGCTCAGCAACCTCAGTGGCAGTGGCATCGACGCCCGCCAGGTTAACATCAACCTCATGTGCCTGGGCCAAATCCAAAGTCTCGGACTCCTGATGACTCTCTGTAGTGCAAGAATCCACTGGGAGCTCTTGATTTTCTTCGCCCAAAACTTCCGTAGGTCGCTGCTCGACTGCTATAGATTGATCTTCAACGGGCACCTCATGCGCTTGGGCCAAATCCAAAGTCTCCGATTCCTGATGACTCTCTGTAGTGCAGGAATCCGCTGGGTGCTCTTGAGGTTCTTCGCCCGCAGCTTCCGTAGGTTGTTGCTCGACTGCTATCGATTGGTCCTCAACGGGCGCCTCATGCGTCTGGGCCAAATCCAAAGTCTCCGATTCCTGATGACTCTCTGTAATGCAGGAATCCGCTGGGAGCTCTTGATTTTCTTCGCCCACAACTTCCGTAGGTTGCTGCTCGGCTGCTATCGATTGGTCCTCGGCCGGCGCCTCTGGATTAACCTCCACATGATCAGGTGCGGGCTGAGTTTCGGCGGTCTCAGTAGCTGGCGGCGCTTCACATGGGTCTTCAGATGCTAATATAATCTCGGGTTCACTGAGCTCCTGTGTTTGCATGAGAGCTTCCGCCGGGGGATCCGGAATGCAGGTCGTCATAGTGGTTTCGTCGATTGCGCTCTCTTTCTGTTCTTCAGAAATGGGTTGGATATCGGAATGTTCTTCCTCGGGTTGTGACGGCACATGGTCAGCTTCCAGTGGAAGTTCTGCCTCGACAGGAGTAGAATCAGTGGCGAGCGGTGATGGTTGGTCATGTTCACCAGGCAGTTCGACCTCAGCCGTTATGTTGTCTGCAACACATGGGGATACAGACTCCTTTCCGGAATCACCGGGAGCTTGTTCGAGGCTTTCAGAACCAGCCTCGCAACAGATCGGCTCAGCTTCGGGCTGCGGGGGTTCAGCTGCAATCTCGACTTCAATCTCCTTATCGGCGGGGGCCTCGGTCGTCTCTAGTGGAAGCTCTATGTGCTCGGACTGGAGCTCTTTGGTGGATTCGACCTCCGATTTCTCTGCGTGGACCTTCTGCTGCTCACTGGTGACCATATCTGGGGAAGACATCTGCTCACTGGTATTGTGTGGCAATTCGACAAGCGCAGCCTCTGGGAATTCTTCAGAAATAGCTGGTTCACAGTGCTCCTCTTTGGAATCGTCTATGGTCTTCTCAGCGTGGGGTACGTCAGTCTGGACTTCGGGTGATATAGTTTCAGTTACTGCGACATGCCCCTCGGAGACAGAGCCTTCTGTCTCCTGCGAAGTTTGCTGAAGGACGACGAACCCATCCTCGTGCTGTGCCAGACCAGCCTCTTCAGTCGCTGGTTTCACTTCTGCTTCCGGAGCTACCTCCATGGCACATTCGGCTTCAACGATCGGTTGGGTTTTCTCATCGGAAACCACCTCCTCATTTTCGTTGCGTGTGGTTGCCTCAGAGATTGAGTTTTCAACAAACTCTTCAATGGCAGTCCGGGATTCAACTGCCAACTCGGTGGCCTCCGGCGGCTTCTGTTGAGAATCGCACTCGGCCTGATGGGGTACAGTGGCACTCACAGGTTCTTCTGCCACGGCTTTGACCTTGGGAGGAGGAGTAAGTATGCCAGTGTCAGCATCAGATTCGGGAATAGCAACTGGGGCTGCAGCTTCAATGCCCGCAGTCGAGTTCGTGAGATTTTCCCAATCCTCTTGAAGGCTTGTGTCTCCACCTTGTCGTTGCATTTCGGGCGTTTTCGGTTGTTTTTGTCCAATTGTTTGTAAATCCTTGGCAGTCTCACTACCGGCCGTAACAGATGTTGACTGAGGAGAATGTTCCTTAGATGCATCTTCACTCTTTTGATACTTTTTGGACCCTTTTTTGGTCAATGTGCCGGTCCGGCTACCATTGCGTTTTAAAGTGACTCGCAAAAGGCTGCCTGTACGGGAAGCCGGAGCACTTGCTTCGTGGCTGGAACCGTGTTTCTCACTGGAGGATTTAGAAAAAATTGAGCCCATTGGGATAAAGATAGTCCACGCGTGTCCTGTCAGACAAGCAGAGCGCAACCGACGACAAGAACAAGAACGGAAAAGTGGGTCATTGGCGCGACGTCCACTAATTCAAGGGTGATAGGTGAGCTCTGATTGGCTGATGGCCACATTACGGCCAATAGCATAGGGCGACCATGCATGTGGTATGCGCCAATCAGAAAGACTGACGAATGATAGTCGGCTGACTGGCCTACGCGTGGCTTGCCTAAGGCGCCCGTTGCCAGATAGGGGACTTTGGATGTGCAAGCAGGGACCCCAGGCATGACTAGTAGTTAGAATGTCTTTCTCACAAGATCGTCATTAACCAACCTCTCAGGGGATGCATTTTTGGCCACTTAACTTCTTAGGCGTAAATGATTTGGAGTCAGATTAGTCGCGCGGATCACTCTTCTTCATGAAGTGGTTCTATCTTAAATAGTTTGGCATTCAATTGAACAACAATAACAGCGAACTACATGCTTCGCCCATAATATTTTCTCTTCCCTACCTACAATCTGGTGTCCTGACAGCACAATTACCAGAGGCGTTTGAGACCCTAACAGCAGGTCGAAATTACACCCTGGCGTAGCTTCAGTTGGATGGGTCGTCCGAGTCCTGACTACCCAAGTGGATCGAGAATGAAGTAAAACTTTTGAAGACGGTTGTCTATGGATAAACAGCTTTAAATAACAAGAATTCAGGAAAATTTCACTCAGCTGACCCGGGAAAGCTTGAAGATTACATTTTTCCCCCAACTAATTCTACGATCGGAGCCGTAGTACTGAAATCCACTGTTAGAAATACTTACTTTCTGCTAGTGAGCTCACCGCACCAAAACGAAGTCCACTTTTTTCAGAAGTGTCAGAGTGTCATTTATGTCCTTGTGAGTGACAACTCGAACGGTACAGGCGACCGAGGTAAAATATAACAGCTGTATTATAAGCCGCTTCATTACGCTAAATGTTCACCTCTCGATCCAAACTGTGCACTTAACTAGGGAGTAGAGTCTGTTGACAATGAAAAAAGGAAAAAGAAGGAGTTGTCTTTTTGTCGTTTTCAGTGTGTCGTTATCCAATTATAGACCGGGAAGACTAGAGATCTGAACTGGAGTTCAGGATGTCATTGCGATGATCGCTTTGCCAGCGGAGTTACAAGTTCGCATTCTCTCTGCTGCGATTGTGAATGCCTCAGACACTATTAAGAACCACTTTCCAATTACTGGCTACTAGAAACTAGTCGATCCCCTGTAAGAGAGCAACCCAAGATAGGACCCTTGTAGTCAATCTCCCCCATGTTGGCTCACCACTCCCTTTTCCATAACTGCTTTTGCATTTAAAAGAACTTAATATTTACCACGCGTTTGCGGTCTTTTTGAAAACACTGTGACTTTTAACTTCCCCGCTTAATCCGCTGTCCGACGAACTCTGAATATATTTGTGGGATTTCAGTGTTGGTTCATTAAACCTCCAGCTTAGCAGAAGTACTGAGGGGGGATAGTAGAGTTCGTTCTAGGCAGTTAGGGGAACTCACCGAAAGGCTGCAACTGTTGTTTGATACGCTTTCAGACGAGTGGATTGGCCCAATTGTGTGTGCTACTTTTTGTTTAATGCATTCATAATATATCATTTTTCTGCTTGATCAAGCACTTGCGAATTTGTTCATAATTTCCGGATTTGACCTAATTCTTGACTATTTACAGCACGAAAAACTGGAGAGTCATTTCGACAAACATGGGCATCTTCTTTCATTTGAGTTTAATAAGGGATTCAAAGTAGTGGAGAACTTCAGCAACATTTGTGCTGTTTACAGGAACGAATTTATTACAAAAAGAACAATTCGGAAATGGTATATCTGCTCCAAAGAAGGCGATTTCGGTACGACGAACGCTCCGCGCCCAGGACAGACGCCAGGCCTCTGTGAGGATCATCTCTATGCTTTAATCCATGCAGATTCCCGTCAGGGAATTCGGGGATTGGCTGGAGAGAGTTGGCGCGGAAAATCGACAATAGCACGACGTCTGCAACCAATGGAAAAGGTCCAAAAGCTTGGATCGTGTGTTCCGGGTACGTTGAATGAGAGCAGGCTTCAGCGTGCAAATATTTCTGCGTCATTAATGACCTGAAATCGTTTCGTCCGCCAGTGGCATAAGGCCTTTTTGAAGCTGATTATTACTGGCGATAAAAAGTGGCATTTGAAAGTGAATATGAAACAAAGGAATGCATGCGACACCTAGAATCACACCCGATATTCATCCTTACAAGACGATGGTGGAATATAAAGGGAGTTGTCTACTATGAAGTGCATGAAAGGAAGCAGGCCACTAATACAGAGCTTTGCGATCAACAGCTTTGCTGTCTAGATAGGACAATTCAACAAAAACGCCCGAATCGCCGAGAGAATGTCCTTTTGTGACATCAAAACGCCGGACTCCAGATAGCAAAATTCACTAAAAATGTCATCAAAAGCTCGACTGGCAGGTTCTTTTTTATCTGTCATATTCCCCAGACCGTGTCCCTTCGGATTATCCTCATTTTTGCCCGCCCAAAAGCGATGTGACCGAGGATTCTTCAATAACGACGCGGATCTTCAAAATTGGATCGATGACTTCTTTGCGCCCAAATCCATGGTATCTTTCAACGGGAATCGAAAAACTGCTTGAACGTTGGAAGGAGGCTTTGAACAATGAAGGAGGATACATAATTTATTAATCCTGCGAACATTAAATACTGATACGATTTCGAATAACCTAAAGGCGCACAATGTTATTGGGTAGCCCAAT